TTTTTTTTTTTTTATTATTGGTGATTGAGTAAACATACGAAATTCGGCAAACCTTCCACTACAAGAAATCTGCCAAAAAGTGACGAAATTCATACGACGAAAAAAAAATTCGTCACTGTATGTTGCCTTATGGTGACGAATTTAAGAAATCGTCATTACATCATTGCATATGGCTACGCCTACTACATTCGTCATCTTAGAATTTATTTTTCGTCACATAATAGTTTTTTTCATGACAATGCACCTTAATCCGTCACATATACATCTAAATTCGTCACATGTATATAAAATGTGACGAAATTAAATGTGACAAACAAACTGTCGTCACTGTTGTTGTTATTTAAAATGACGCTTATGACTAATTCGTCATTATATAATTATTTATTGTGACAATACATTATAATACAACTAAATTCGTCACATTAATACATATTATGACGAAATTCAGTGTGACGAAATAAATATCGTTGTTTATTTTTTATTTATTTAAAATGATGCTTACAAAAAATTCGTCATTATATATATATATATATATATATATATATATATATATATATATATTTGTAACGATTAGTTATATTTCATCTAAATTCGTCACATTAATACATATTATGATGAAATTCACTACGACGAAAAAAATTCGTGGTTTTCTTTGTATTTGAAATGACACTTACAAAAAATTCGTCATTATATAATTTTGTTTTGTGACGATTAGTTATAATACATGTAAATTCGTCACATTAATACATATCATGACGAGTCACTGTGATGAATCAAAATCGTTGTGTTTTTTGTTGTATTTAAAATGACGCTTGCGTACAATTCGTCATTATATAACTTTGTGACGATAAAATATAATACATCTAAATTTGTCATATTAATACATATTATAACGAAAGACACTGTGACAAAAAAATCGTTGTGTTTTTTATTTTATTTAAAATGACGCTTACGCATAATTCGTCATTATATAACTTTGATTTGTTATGAACTTTTCTCATGATTGGGTTAG